ACACACACACACACACACACACACACACACACACACACACACACACGCACACATGTGGATGTGGATGCCTGTGAATCACACTATTCATTTGAATCACTCTAAATATTATATATTGGAATATGTGGTATTTTCTTCTTAATTTTTGAGCAAAGCTAATCGAGTTTTGAGTTAATTCAGTGTATATAAAATGCTATATAAATATAGGTCCATTTGCCTCGTTCCATTTGAAGGTTCTGCTGTTGGCAGAGGATGAAGACTCAAATATTCCCTGCGAGTTAAAACTATAGGCTTCGATCGATCGATTGACATATGCACTGCAACTGAGGGAGCTGACATTCAGGAAGAAAACAAGACAAAAAGGATGTATTTCAGCCATCTGACAATAGAGCTCTGATTATTTTGAAAGGCTCTGTACTTGAGCCTCTGATTCCAGTTTCCTTTTTTCAGCAGTTTCCTAATGTGTGTTTCTCCTCCAGCAGGGGGCAGAAGAGCTCCAGGAAAAGCACTTACAGTAAACACTCTACTGTACCTATGTGTGGAAATTAAAATAGACTTTTCTTGATCCAACTCAACCTTGATGAGGTCTTTTCAAATTTTGTTATCATTGATGTCATCATGCTTTTCCCACTTTATGAATTGCGAAGGTTGACTTCTGTGGTAACAAGATCAGACTGAGAGAAAAGGACACTATTCAGTGTTTCAAGGCCTGTGCCCACAGATTAGCAAACACAGTTTCCTCCGTAACCCAGGAAGAACACAACATATCATTATCTGACACATTATTACATGTGGGTCGGAGCACTTAATAAGACTCCTGTTGCTTTATGAAGATAGTGCCTTTGTTGAAAATGAACATCAACACACTGCATCTGCAATTCATACAAGATGAAAAGATTCCCTGTCACAGCGGTACAAACAGATGGGGTGTTTTTTTTGGTGTTTCTTGCCCTCACACACTGCCAGTGTTGGCAATAACTGCTGTCAGAAGCCAACACACAGCCTCAGCTGGGGAAAGGGCACAGACTGAAACATGTGAATCATTCAATACTCTTGTCTGTCCAGCAACTCAAATATTCCATTTGATGTAATGGTGAAGCCATAGAAATGTGTGAAATAAGTATTTCAACAATATCTGCATGATATACTTTATCTTCAATGAACTGTTCAACAAGCAGATGATACATTTATGTATGGCGCTTTTATACATGAATAAAAGACAATAAATGATTGAGCCTCTCTGTGACGGGAACATTTTGCAGCTCAAAATGTTTTGTCACAAGGTTCAGGATGTTTGACTGCAGAGCAGTACAACACCAGAGAGAAGTGAGGAAGCCTCACCTTGACCCACATTTAGACGACTTTTGCCAAACAGGCGAACAACACAGCGCACACCGTCAACACTGTAAGCAGTGTCAGAGACGAAAAGCTAAGTGATTACTGCTTTTGTGAGACTGTTCTGTTATCCGCCGGTAACTCCAGGAAACATAGCGGGAAAACTGCAAGACAAATCTTTCTTTAGCCTTGAAAATGGATTACTTCTTATGTGTCATGTTTCTGTGTCTCCAACAAAGAAATAATCCAATTAATGGAAGAAAAGCTGAAAGCCAGCCCTGAAGCAGTTTAATGCACTGTAACAAAATGTCTCTAATAAACACTGGCATTTTGCAATTACGTTATACAATTATATCGAAATCATTAATTAAAACCACCCACTGAATAAATCCAAAATTAAGAATGATAACGATGCCAGAAACAGAAGTGGGAAAATGTGTCTCCAATGTGGCAGCGCATCTGTAAACAAAATCATATTCGAGCGATATGTAATTGCAATGTCTGTCTCACATGTGCAGTAAATCATAAAGTCTGCTTCGTGAGATTGCAGCGCTGCAGTCATTAATTAATTAAACCAGCCCGGACACAAAGACAAGGTATGGATAGTCTAGAGAGGGAGGGGCACTGAAACGTAGCCAGCTGTGCACTTTCAAAATGGAAACATGCACACAAACACTCCCGTAGGTTGGGGGGGGGGGGGGGGGGGGGGGGGGGCGACACAATTGGAAGAAAAGTGTTTTTTTTTT